TGAATTCCAGACTAAGCTATATACTTCTTCTTCTTCTTCTTCTTCTTCTTCTTCTTCTCTTCTTCTTCTCCTCCTCCTCTTTCATCTTCTTCTTCTTCCTCTTCTCCTCCTCTAGTCTCCTCCTTCTTCTTCTCCTCCTAATCTTTCTTCTTCTTCTTTTTCCTCTTCTTCTTCTTCCTCTTCTTCTACTTCTCTTATTAGTCCTTCTCCTCCTCCTCCTTCTTCTTGACTGTACTTTACAAGCATTTTCTCCCTAAAGGAATTCTCTTTTTTCTCTTACGTTTCCTTTTCAATAGAAACTGCTGCCTCCAGCAAAACAAAACGATAAAGTAAATTAATGTATTCATTTTAGTAGTTGACTGTTTCACTTTGTCATAGTTGACCTTCTTTCGTTATTCAGACGTTTATCCATTCTTTACCAAAATATATCACTGACCAAATTAATCAACAGTTCAAATACTGTATGGTTTATGTCTAAAGACCTGATGGAAATTACAAACCGACTCATGTTAGGGACCTTTAGGAATAAATGCTAAGATTTGAATTGAGAATTTTGGCAACCAGAATATATGGAACTTGATGGATGGATGGATCTAGTATTGACTGACTGACTGACTGACTAACTGACTGTGACTGCCTGTGACTGCCTGTGACTGCCTGCGACTGCCTGTGACTGACTGACTGACTGTGACTGTCGACTGACAAGTTCACCCACATAAACCACTGTATGCGCACAATTCAAATCTTCTTAGAACTTAAGAAATAAACTTCAACCTTATCAACTACTTCAGTAAAGTTTAATCAATTAGATGTTCTTTTTGTTTTTCTCACGTGCACCAAAACTGCRGTCTATTTTTATGACTTTGTCTCTTTTATAATCCGCATTACATGCACATGACCAGAGACAAAGCCTGGACGCTCCTTCCTTCCAACATATATATAGAACAAGCCGAGGTAAAAATAATCATGTACAACATAGCAATATAGATCAGAGCGATATCAAATGCACGCGACACATTTGCAAAACCACGAAACGTTTTTAAAACAGCTTTGCAGAACACAGCAGGGACCTCCTCTGCGAGTATGTTAGGCCGGCCATGTGTCTAAAAATGACCAAATTTACAGATACCTAATCAACGAATTAGTTCAGTTAATGGCTGTGGGCTGACAATGGGACTCACACATCGTTCCCAGAATTACGACTTTATCACGCTATTAAGATTTACTAAGAACATCTTTTGAAAGTTTCAGGAATTTTTTGTACTTGATTTGGTTAATTTGTCAAGAAAATCGCACGAGGCATTAGCGATTTGTGAACATCGTAAAGTTCTCGAGAAAGAATAGTTTTTTGTGTGAGTCAGTTTAAATTAGGCTAAGGATTAAATTTAATGGTAGAATTGGATTGACGCGTGCTTGAACAGTATAGACAAAAAGAGAAGGGGGAAAAAGTAAAGTTTTCTGCTATAGGGACAGTTTTTTATACGCCTTGTTTTAGTGTTAAATTCGATGATAAAACTGGATTGCACATGTTTGAAGTTTTAGACGAAAAGAGAAAAATAAGAAAAGATAAAAGAAAGATGAAAGAGAGAGAGAGAGAGAGAGAGAGAGAGAGAGAGAGAGAGAGAGAGAGAGTAAGGAGGAGCCGGAGAGAAGAAAGAAAAAGAAAGAAATAGCCTCAGAATGTATTTATTCCCATAAATAAATGTTTAACTCTTCCATCCACGGCCATGATACCAGATCGATAAAAGTGGTCTTCTAACGCCATAGTTCACCAGTCATACACCAGTAATCATAAATCAAAATGTTCAATATCGCAAAGGTGGATTACCGAATTCATTCGCGCGTTGTAAAAAGTCATAAAATCAAAAAAAAGTCATATAATCATTACCAGACTGTTTGCCAATACTTATGATATTTTTTTACTCAATGCTGACAGGATGTCTTTCTTTTAACTTTTGCGAGAGAAAAACTAATGATTTGTCTTCAAGAGCTAACTAAAACATCCTGACATCAATATACTAGGGTCATTTCACAGTCAAGCGTAGAAAAATAAATTGTAATTCAGGTTAATTATTGTGAGTAGACTATATTTAATAGCGAAGAAAATGGGCTAGAACTAAGAATACCGCTAGTGGCCTCAATAAGCTTCAATATATCTGAAGGCAAATATCAGCAATTATCGGTAGACGCTATGTTTTTCAGAGCCACTCTCATATCTAAAATGCCTACTCGAGCTATAGAGTGCTTTGTAGATTGGATTAATACCGAGTGCTCTGTGTTTCTCCATCACCTTTAGCTAGTACTTTGATACAAAATGTACTCACGAATTCATATTTGTCGGTTTAGTTTTGATGGTATCTAACATCTGGAAAGCGAATATCGTCGTTCAAACATTGATTTGATTCGAGTTCATTGTGTGTTTTGGTGATATTGAGGAAGAGCCCGCTTCAAGTGTTACTAGGTTAAACACATTTTGATGCGTTGAGTGTTTTATTTGAGATCAATGTCTTGTATTTAAACTACTAAACTTTGGGGAAGGACGCATGCAACTTTTTCGTCTACCGCTTGGAGCTTCAAAATTAGAAGTGTACTTAACCCTGCGGCTTTAGTATTTGAAAAATTCGGTCTTAAAACCGCTAAATATTACATTTTTCGCTGAAAAAAATTACTGAATTTGAAAAATTGTTCGCAAAAAATTCACTAACGTTTTCCGGAAGCCGCAGAACTTTGCGAAAAAAGTTTGAGGGCTATGAAGAAGGTATATCGCTCCTTCATGTACTGATATAGAGATAGAGTTACAATATACATTTCGGTACTACTGATATCTCCTGAAATACTCAGTAAAAGAAGTATTATCGTACAGTAGATTCTCTGCTATGTGTGGAGAATCCGAGACAGTGAGAGTAAGAGAGAGTGTGTTAGAGAAAGAGAGAGCGCTCTCGAGACGTAGACGAACAGTGCATCACAGAAGGGAAAAAGAGATTTTTCTGAATCCAAAATTACATACAACAACAAAAAATAAATAGATAATAGGGTGTCTTATTTGAAAGCTTTCTTTAAAATACAATGCCGGGAGCTAAATATATTTAACGGTTAAGAGATGTTTACGGTGTGAACAACAAGAAAGCAATATGTGTATATGAAACCTTTTTGACTTGTTCCGAATCTCACATACTTTTAAGAAATATTTTTTACTCTTTTTATGTTTTTATTTCCTGCCAAATGAAGAAAGAATAAGGAATGTTAAGCTAGGTAGTAAGCACTAGACCAATCTTAAATTTTCCTTTTTTATATTTTCGAAAGTTTAGTCAGGTCCTATTTTTAGTGAAAGACCAAACTATATTGACCGAGGAACGACTCCTCAAACAACGTCTGGGCAAAAATAAATGATCATTGCTCTAGGTTCAACAATACTTTTATTTTCAATTATAAGAATCGTACAGCGCAAATTGTAGAATATTTAGATGCACGTATTCCATAAAATGGTCTTATTTGAATAAAAAGTTGCCAGGAAGGTGTCATGATGGCTTTAGAGTTTCTTGTTCAGAATTTCACAAGCTGCAAAAATCAACTTATTCGCAATGGAGGTTCGTGTATGTTCTTGTCCACAAGAAAACCAAGAAACAAGACATTAGTAATTTCAACTTCAGATAACGACAGAAAACTCAATATTACCAACACTGAATTCAAATCCAAATGAAGTGTTACAGTAAGAGTAATATATTGTAGTTATCAAAACAGTTGCGGTTCCATTTCAATCAAGTCTCCACGGAAATCAAAACACTTACTATACTACACAAGAATCGTGAACTCTTCTTAGAGCTCGTTTATTGAATAAATATTGAAATTTCTTCAATTTTGGCTACATAATAGATAATTGTGTTGTAAACATCGTAAATACGGAACTTCCAACGTAGATTAAAATAAGATTCATAGTGGAATCGCGTTTGTTTGTTTTTACACAAATTTTACAAGTTTAATCACTGAGACAAAACCTATGACACCCACCATTACTTTTTCTTAATTGTCAGACTTTTCTGGAGACTTTTCTGAATAATTTACATGCCCTTTCGGCACTTTGTTTTCATTTTATTTCCGATTATTTAAATCAAGTCTCATGGCTGGTTTTCAAATGTAGCCGATTAGTTTTACAACTGCAGACAAGTGTTAGGCGTGAACTTAGTTTGATCAAACAAATATATCTGGCAAACTCTTGTGTCAAAAATAACTTGCACTGTCATTCTTCGTAAATAATGCCTCAAAAACCTCTTGTACTCCGATCTTGCAATTATTAAAATGAGAAAACATTAATATAAATTGAAGAATTATTCTTCTTTCAAGTAATTCTAATTATATCATAGTGAGATAAAGGGATTGAAAAGAAGTGTCCATGTTTGAAAAATGGCTAGACGGTTTCCTATTAGGCGTATCTCAAAACAACCCCGAAGGCAACGCGTTCTTTAATTAAACTCAGTCAAGATCGATTGATATCTTATAATTCTTGAGTGGCTCTCAGCTACGATTTTGCTATGATTATTTTGACAAAATGCTCTTAAGCTTATCTCGGTCGAACGATTAGAATGTCTTTGATTATAACTACAATGTGTTGGAGTGCGCCATGATGTGGCTCGGTGAAAACTTGTTCCGTTATTCGGGGAAATCAGTATCAAAGGATTCTGATTGTAAAAGAATAAACAGAAAACTAGGAAAGGAAAAGAGAGAACGAGATAGTTCAAGTTATGGGAATGAAGAAAATAAAATATTGTTATATGAAATCTGAACATTAATATTAGGTAATTGAAAAGGCGTTGATTATAATTTTATAATTAATTATAATTATAATCTTATAATTGCATAGGTCAAAAGAGGATGGAATTAAAGAATGAAAGAAAGATTGTAGAAAGAATGAAAAAGAGAAGAGAAGACTCCAAGCAAGTCATAACGCTATAAGAGTAATATAATCTATAAGTCTGGGCTTTCCCAAATCTTATTTTTACAACAAAATATATAATACGTGGCTCTAATGGCAAGATTCATTATTTTTTTGATTATATAGTGTTGTTGTTTTTGTCAACTCCAATGTCACTCATCATGTCTAAAAACGTAGAACATTCGTCGGACAGGACGCCAAGAGAGCTCATCGAGAGGTTTACAAATTTAACGCGATCGAATTTACTGGTCAAATCTTTAATCAAATTCTTGTATTTTTCTCTTTTACGGACTGCATTGTTATTAAGGTTAGACTCAAACCCAACTGTTAGTTCCAGAACATAAAGGYACTTGGACTGTATTAGGAGAAGGAGATATAGTAATAATAATAATAATAATAATAATAATATTATTATTATTATTATATAATAATAATAATAACAATAATATTGATAATAATAATAATGATGATGATTTATTAGAAGTACATCCACCAGTGGCTCTTTGCCTTCTAATCCTAACTTACAATAAAAAATACTAAATATATTGAAAAACTAAATTATAAGTAATAAATAAACTATATACACGAGATATAAACATTCATACAAACATATACACACATATAATATATATATACATATAACGTACACACGCACACATATATATACATACATACAGGCATACATATACGTATGTATCAGTAAAATGAAAACATATTTTAAAACATATTCGTACTAAGAAAATCCCCCCCTGTATGTCTTATTATATAAGTTAAATAAGTTCAGTGAAGACCATAGAGAATATATAGCATCTCAAATAAAACTTTATATTTGAGATTTCTTAAAGCTCTTTGCCAGAGGCAATACAGGATCTAGACTTGTCTCCTTAGTAAAAGGTAAATAGAGCATGCATCAAAGATCATTCTGGGCGGAACTCTCTTTGTCATATTTATCTTATTTTGCCTCTAGCAATCAATTTGTACATGGGTACTTTTAGGAGTTAAGTGTAATTAATAGCTTTGATTCTCAAGAAGAAAGATCACATTAAATTAAGAATTATTTTTACTTAAAGATATGAATTTGCCAGGCGGCAGTGCTGGAGAGGACTGAAAAAGGGATTCAAAATTGGTGATGAAAGTAGTGATAAAGATTAGTCATATGAATATGAATGCGGATGATGTTGGTGATGATAGTGATGGTGTGGATGGTATAGAGGTATGATGATAAGAATGATGAAGATGATGATTTATGAGTGGTGCTGAGGTTTGGTGATGATATCGATGAAGATCATGAATGTTATGGTGGTTGGCGATGGTGATGGTAGTGGTAGTGTTATGAAAATGATAGTGATGATGATGATGATAGTGATGATGCGTGATGATGCCGATGAGGTGCAGGTTGTGTAAGTCAGTGACACTGGAAAATGATATATGGTGTTAGTGATGGAGATGATGATGTTGGTAATGGCAGTGATGGTGGTATAATGGTATTAAGAGTATGGTAGTGATGTAGGTGATGGTGATGATAGTGGTAGAGTTATGAAAATGATGGTGATGATGAGGATCCGATGATGAAGATAATGACGTTGATGATGGTGGTGGTGATAGTGTAAGCGGTATTGATGATCACTTATGATGCTGCGTGATGGTAGTGCAGTACTGAAGAATGTAGACGGTAGTGATGATGATGATGATGTTGCTGTTGATGATGTTGCTGTTGCTGTTGATGGCATAGTATAGTGTTGGTGATTTGTGATGATGGTTGCTAAATACTGGATGATGTTGCTAATTCTAACATAATGCTAGTGATGATCATGATATGAGTTACGATTATGATGACAAGGAAGGTGATGTTATTGCTGGTGCAGCATCAGATTGATCATGATGTCGTACAAATGATAATGGTTTTGGTGCTCATACTGATTGTATAGTGATGTTATATTGGTGCTAGCTATTACATGATGGTGCTAGATGCTAGATAGATGTTGATGGAAGGAGAATGTTACGAAAAAGATGATGCTAGCGATAAGAAACATGGTAAAAACAGACGATTACCGTGTTGCTGCTATTTGACGATGACACGAAATTCTCTGCTTTTTTACTCTCAAAAAAGTTTTTCTTAAGAGGGTTTTAGACAAAATTAAACAACCCAATCGTATAATGGATCTTTTATAATATTTTCAATTCATTATGATACAAAGATTCTATTAACTGATCTACATTTTCAAGATGCTCTTGATAAGCTATCTGCAGCTACACATTTGTCAAAGTGCCTTCCAAGTACTTCCCTTTTCACTTCAACTTTCCTCTATAAACTTTTTTAAGTGATCAAAAGTACCGCATTACTGTTTCATCTCGACTCAACAAATATAGCGAACCAAATGAAGATGATTTATTTACTACATGTGTAGGAGTACAAAAAAGGCGTTCGCTTGGCGTGTTCTTTGAAGACATGTCTCAGCAATTTATTTTTTAATGAAAAAAAATTCTAAAAAAGTTCCTTACAACTGCTGGTTGTTAAAGTTAGTATTTTTTGCCATGTGGACTGGTAATTGTGCTATGAGCGATGATGCTAGTTGTGTAATGGATTAGCATTAGATAAAGTTCAGAAGTTTATGGCTGGAACTGTGGTTTTTAATGGAACCACTTCAAACCCTTGAAACTTGAAGTTACTCGACTCACAAATCGTCGGTGACCCAAGAGGATTAACCACGCTTTTATTCACTTTAAGAAAGGTCAAATACTTCCAGAGACTAAACGTAGTATTTCTATTGAAAAGCCTTCGAGTTTGAGTGAGTGTTAGGGTCATTTCGTAATTGTTATTTCATGGAGTGTATATTTCTTTAAATTTTGTGGGTCATCGACAGACTAAAAGAAAGGTTAAATTCAAAGGAAGAAAAACACTAAACAAACCAGTAAATATAATTGAATTTCTAAAATAAATGATTATAGAATTTACTTGCTGGGGCGGAGGTGTTATTTAGGAAAAACATTGGCCAACTGGAAAAAAAATCAACTCTGTTTTCTTTTTGCCAATTCACTGTAGCCATAAAAAAGGTTTCTACATTTCAAGGATCTTTATATACATATGTATATTGATAAAATATAAATAAATGATACACAAATAAGCATATTTTCTCGAACAAAGACATCATAAAACCTTACAAAGACTGGAACAATGGAATATAAAAAATAAAACTGTGTCAAAATTCAAAGATGAAATATCCTTTTCGCGTTATCTTGTTCATAGTGGAAATATTCACCACTTCTTTCGTTTTTCACACCTTATAGTGCTATTCTGTTCTGTAGTATTATTCAAAAAATGAACTCAAGGTATCTTAGCCACTAAGTTAGAGTTTGAATATTATGGAAACTGAGCCTTTTATCTTCAATGTCAATACTTTGTAGACTAGACAAAGTACAAAACACTTGAGAAGTAATATTTGGCTCCGCCGTTACCCGTGGTAGTGTAGCTGCTTCCTACTCGCTAAACTTAACATTTTATGGCTATTTCCAAATACCTTAACCCAAGTTTAATTCAAAATTTCTCTTGATTGGGTTTTGCAAGAGGATTTTTAAGATTTCGAGGCGAGTTTGTATGTTTTGGCAATTGCAGTCACAGTCTACTAAGCGTTGTAAGTGCTCTACCGTATTATAGTTCTCAGCTGAGTGCACTTGAATTCCTTCGACTTCCTTGCTTTTCATTCTGGCTTACTAGAGCATATACAGGCAGAATAGACTGATGAAGAGTCTTTGAAAACCTAGACAAAACTAGCAATAACAACATGATATAGAAAAGGTATTAATTAATGACACATGTGCAAGTTATACTTATTAGATACTCCCCTGCAGCCAATCTAATACTTTAGCTTGATAATTGTTGTATTCTTATGACGATTCTCGGCCCTTATACAAGAGAGTTTTGAATTGATTTTATATTATTATTAATCTATCTTCACTACTACATGCTTGGATGCATAGCGGCTTGAGTGCCCCTTCAAAAACACCCAGCATTTTTATCATGAACCACATGGAATGAGCTGCAGTAGAGCAGCAGGATACTTGTGAGTCGTGCATAGTAAAATGCCTGGTATGTACATGTATACCTGAACTAACCATTATTTAAAAAAAAAAAAACTGAATGCGAAATAATTATATTTGAATTGCAATTGAAGTGTTTGTCATTTCTTCTGAGAGGAATGCATATCAGTATTCTTTTCTTTTTATAGCCTGAACAGCAAAGTGTCTTTCTTCATTACTATTATTATTACTCGCGCTACTTGTCAGCCTATCCATCTACTACATTTTTAGAGGCATAAACCGTAACTTCCAATGTTTCTCATGTTAGGAACTTTATTAATTTAACACGTCTACCATTGTTCATGTTTACATAGGGTTTCCCCAGCCACTCTTATTCAAGAGGCACTGACAGTGTCCCATTCAGTTATTCATTGACATTCTTGCATTGTCTAGTCTAGTAGACCGACGTCCCTTGTATTGTACCAACTGACTAGATTCTCTTACTTATCAATAGACTATCCTAGATATCAGTGGATCATATTGTGTGAGTCCATGACGATTCTTAACATATTATAGGTCATTCACCTGTTTTAGCAGAGTCATACCCTTGGACATTACTATTCCTGCCTAAGATTTCTTGCTTGTCATGGACTTTTGCATCCACCAATAGTCTTCTTCAGTTTCCTGTGCCAACTGGAAAGGTAGCCGTGCCTTTGCATCGAAGGAGACGAACGGTGAGCTTGCAATGATAGAGACATGTGAATAATTGTCCAAGGTGTTAAATGTGACAATTATCACTGATGTGCATGAAGTACCATTGGGCATTTTTATTTTTTTCCTACATGGGAGGGACTTGTATAGTTGCTCGTATAGACTGAAATTGAGTGAATCCACCATTTTCTGCAGATTCTTTTATATTTTACTAAGTTCATATGGCCAGCATTCCTTTGGTTCGTTTATGGGTCAGTTCCTTCCTGGCACTTTGTCCTTTCAATGGCCACCTAAATTTGTCCAGTGGACCATAGGTTTTTTTACTGAATATCGATCCCAATACTAGCAGAGAATCATCAGCTAGTACCATTTCCAGCTATTTGTCAATCAGTTGCTTCCTGGCAGTATGTCCTTTAGCCACCCATTAGCCACCCATCTATGCACCACAGATTTTTTAAACTTTCCAACTACTTGCACAGAATTGCTTCCTGAATTACAATCCCTACTTTGGACTCAGTCTTCCTGGCAATTTACTGCAGTAATATATGGGTGAGACATGCAATACTTTAACCACATAGGATTATCGATACCCTCCCAGGCTGCAAATTAGCCACCTACATCCAATTACTTGCATAGGTTCATCAACTCATTGCCACCTAGTACCTCTTTTCACTGGCCATTTACCTAAATGAAGATGATACTTTTCCATCCAATTACTTGTACAGGATCATTCAGTCATTGTATTATCTACATCTTATGGGGACTATACATTCTTTATACCATCCAATTATTCTCAGTGCCATTTCCAGCACTAAAGCCTTGATTGGACACACACCTATGGAGAACATGCATCCTTTATACCATCTAATTTACCTGCACATTATAATACCATTCCAGTTCCTGTGCCCTTTCATTGGCCACCAACCTTTGGACCATAATTCCAGTTTGACCAATCCAACTTGCACATAATCATCATCACATTTTAACAAGTTTGCGTGCTCCTAAGTGGCGCATGGGAAGTAAAGTATTTCTTTCTAAGCATTCTATCATCAGTCCAACCCTTGTGCCCTTCCATTGGCCAATGACCTATCCAAATCACCTATAAACACCATATTATACTCAAACCTCATGTAGGCAAGACATTTTGCATCAGTTACGTAACATCCTAACTCAATGCCTTTCCTTTTCATATCTTCTGAAAATCAGTCCAATCACTCAAAATTCTGGACTCAGAAAAGTACAGTAAATACTACAAAGTACAACTTACCCTTTTTTTTTTTCAATGGGAAATTAATTATGGCTGATGACAAGAGTTCCTGTGACAAAAGCTTCACCCTAAATTTATTTACGATTCTAATTGAACTACCTACCACCTTTCATTGCCTGCGGACATTTCTAACTCAGTTTTTCTAGGCAATTGGCTCAATTTTACCATATATACACCCATCATATGATTGAATTGGGTATTAAAAGTACTTTTATATGATTTTACTAAGTTACTAATCAATAAGTTACATTGCTGCCACATTTTAGGGGCTGGCCATCAGTTTTATTTCATTTAGAAATAAATTGAATGATTATTTCGAATGCAAACTCATAAATCCAATTTTTACCATTTGATAGCACAGTTTCCTCAAAAATATTACAAAAACCCATCACACCCTTACCACACACCTACATAATATTACCTCCATTGTTAGATTATGATTAAAATGTCTCTTTGAGGTATTCATTTCTAAAGAGAATTAACTAATTATAAAAAGGAGTATTATATACTGGATTGGATTCGCTGGCAGTGGAAATTGAATATGGAAAATGGGTTATCTGTGTCATTAGAAGACTTACGTCAGCTCAAATGCTGTTTCAAGGTTCTATTAATAGAATTGATGATTTTTTATAGCGCGTATATTTATTTGTTTTGATTTTTTTCTTGCCAGTTTTGGGTTGAATTAGAGTCTTWAGAAGTACGAAGTGACCTACATTACAAACGTGACCAACGAATAAAGCTACGTGAATTGAAAATGCTTTTATTTATCATGCAAGGATAACGACCTAGAGACGGGCTATTTATAGATTATATCTCTGATATTGATTGCGATATATCGATATAGGTGTAATTAAATTTTGTACGTAGCTAGCAACAGAGAGCAATAACAAGAATGCACCATCTTACAGGAAGACGTTCACAAAGAAGTACTATTTTTAATTATCCATTCAAAGCCTCTTGGAACTTTTCATGTAAAAGGTTCTTTAACGAGTATTTCAACGGGCTGAAGACGGCTTTTTTAGCCGACCACACTGAAAAGGCCACTGATTAGTAAGCAGAGATCTTTGTTCTGATATGAATGGGGGGAAAAACTCAAGGTAGTCGGCGAAACTCAAAGTCATATCGCGAATTCAAACATAGATATTCCTGATACCGCCCACTCTTGAAAAGCCATCGGACAACCCTTTTTGCTTGGACCCGTAATTACTAAATTGTTTCTCAAGCCTTGAGATAACATTTAAAAAGAGTTTAATGAAAGCCTTGAGGTACTTTGGTAACAACAGTTGAATTGATTGTGCGTCTCCGAAGTTCAAACAGCTTCAAAAGTCAACTGCAAATTGGTCTTTGAATTACCAATGATATTAATATAGATTATCATCTAGTAACCACAACTTGAAAGTAAATATTTGCCGATTATTAAGAAAGTTACAAGCCTTAATTTTATACAAATATATATATTTAAAGTAGAGTAACAGCAAATGCTATCTAATAGTTCAGAAAAGACGATATTTGACCCCAAACAAATCAAACCGTCAAGTGCCCTTTTTCAAGAAATTGACAGATATTGGTGCTCAGATAGCCAATTTAGAGAACATTTGAAAACCAAAGTGGAATAACAAAAACACCCGTTCACGAGTCGTGCTATTTCAACAAAGCAGTCTCACTTTAAAGCAAGACAAAGCCTTTTACACGGAATGACTCATCAAAAGTATTAGTCGGGGAAGATCATATATGTATAGTAAACTTATAACAAGCAAAGTTCATAATAAGCAAATCGTGAATAAATGTCAATCGCCAGTCTTCCATCCTCCTTTCGAGAGCGATGCTTCATAAACGAAATCCCACCTAATCAGCTTTCCTATCAGTCTGCTCTCATCTAATCAGAACCTCAAGGCTTTGAAACAAACCTCGATAACTCTTAGTTTCTGTTTTGGGTTAAGTTAAGTCAAAACTAGTCTAGAGATAACGGGTCCAATTTGGTACTAACATTAGTCAGGCCAACCCTTACAGGCATTCCCTTTGTGATAAGAAGGGGAAAAAAACACAATAATTTGAACTGAAAACACCTGGAAAAATATAGCCAACTGTAGGTTTAGAGCTTTCGAACTTATCGTTGCAGCAGTAGGTAAACAAGCAACACGATTTTAGACTAAGAAACCGGGCAGAAGTTTTCTTTTTGATGATCATGAAATGACAGGAACAGCTCATTCTGCTCTTCGGGTCTACCGGAAATTTATTTTAACGAGCTCTTCCGGATCCTTGCACGTGTTTGAAGCTAGCAGGCCGTTTGTTTTCCTTTCCTTCTCCTTTTTCCAAGTTTCGGAGAAATATAATTTGTTTTTGTCTGTCCTGTGCCACGAAAATGAAAGTCATAATACAATCAGGTTCGATTCAAGTTGTCATTGAATCATCTTCCCTAAGGGGTGATACGAAAAACAGGATTTTTTAGAAGACCCTGTGTGTTAAGGCAAACAATCTTCACAAGTCGTTATATCCCACCGTGTTTATTATATTAATTACATGTACATAGCTGTCTCGATTGAATAGGCGGAGGTGGAGAAAAGGAAAGCTCAGATATAACACGAATAAACTTGATCAAAACAAGCATGTAACACGGCAATGACTAGGTTCTTTGCCGGTCAGGGAAAATCGATCAGTTACCACACATCATTCAGCTTCGGGCAAAATGATTAAAAAAGAGCTTTCTGAAGAAAAAAAAACAAGTTTCAAAAATGCTTTTGAAACACTTCCCCGCCACTTGCAACGAAAAGAAACTTCCACTTCTGAGAGAGAATAATTAAAAGTTAAAGTGGCTTTCAGTTTTGGCTTCGTTCATTGTTGTTAAAATTCAATAACGATCTTTTGGAGCACGCTATAGTTTAGAAGTTTCGTTCTCAATTTCGTTGCCCACGAGGAGAGCGAGTCAAAGTGTCTGACCAAGGAGGTGGTCTGACAACTCAAAGGCGAACACGGTCAAAAATTGGTTATTATCATTGACTGGTACACTTTACTTTCGCTGAAGATAAAAAGTGTCAAAGTTTCAAGATGTAGTTTAGTTTTGACCAATTTCTTAGGTGTACCTTTTGTCAGGGTCGATGGTATACAAAGAAACAACACTTATTATTCAATTTCTCATGCTTGCTGGATATTTTAATATTTAATATTTAATATTCCCACAATGAGGAAGTTTTGTGTTCGGGTGTCTTTGTTCTCTGATCAGCTTTATTTTGCTATCTTGGCAGGAGACTTCTTTCATCATAACACTGAGTTCATTTGGTCGTCAAAGTCAGAAGCTGGAGATTGGAACACGAAAGCAAGTGGATCCCAGAAAAGAACGTGTATAAAATCTTTCAATCCTATTACGCAGGCTTCTTACAGACAGAGCATTCTAGAAGTGTTCATTTTATTCTGTTTGGGTCTTCTATATGATATATAAATGGAGTATTAAAGTTGTGGGTGTTGAGAGTCTGGTTTGGAAAGAATTTTTTTAAAAACCTTTGAAGAATTGAGAAGATAAAGATGATATGAAAAGAAAAAAAATTAATGGGCCAAAAAGAAGAAAGCAATGTACTCTGCCAAAAAAGCATGCATTAATAAGATACATAATACCATTTTTTTTCAATTGAGGTTTCAATGTAAAATGCCTCAAGCAATTTCCTAGAAAGCATAGAAAGATAAAAAAAGGTATTATGAAGTGTGGTGGATATCAAAAATAAGAAGAGAACCGAGTCACTTTTCTCGTGCTAGCTTCAATGTTCTTTGATGACAGAGGGTCTGGTTTGTTCAAATGAAAATGACATCAACTTATCGCCTAAAATAGCTCAGTCAAGTGATTGTCTCATCAGACACAATTGGAAGTAAAACAGATACTGCTTCAATAAAGAAGAATTAAATTATCTGACTATAGGCAAATGTGATAAAAACCGAAGACAATTGGATTCGAGTTTGGTCTAGAATATTTTCACGAATGAAATATCCCTCCGCGCGCTAATGGCTTATCCATTTTTTAACAACAAGCACACAATTCCTACTCTCAGCCATTGTTTCCAGCATGACACTGTGACTGTTCTGAGCTGTACAAAATGTCAAAACGAAACGCTCCTGCTTAACATGACAAAAGCAACAGCTAGTCAAAAATAATTTGTCTAGCGTGACAGCTATAGTTCAGCAGAGTAACTTAAACCATGACAGTACTTATGAACCTCGAGAAGGGCAATTACCAAATGTTTCGTATACAGTCAATGATGTCACGCAACATGTCAGCAAGAGGCATAAGATGTCACAAAGTAAACATGTCCTTTCAGACACATTCGCGGTCCAAAAATAACCAAGTTCCTGTAAAAACACTCAAGAATTCGTAGATTTGATGTAGGTTTTAGGGAACATACAGATGAGTTTATTTAGCTATACGAGACACCATTGTGCTATGACAACCAAACGTCCAACCACTTGACATCAGAGAATTGTTCATTTAAGAAAAGGCAGGTTTAAAGGTTTTTATTGATGATAAAGTGTGATAAAGGACAAGTTGGTTCGTGTCGTGAGACCACAGCGCCCACAGAAACCCCAAATCACAGACAAAACGAACGGGCGATGTTTGTTTTTATACTTAGTTTGCGGGAAAATTTTGTCTGTTTTTGTTCAATCTGCTCTTTGAGAAACAGCTTAAGATGATGTTACTATAAACTTATACATGGTCCTAATTGAAGCAAAGAGAAAGCGATCTTGCTCCATTGTATTGGATTTCCAATAACCCAAAGAGGTTAACTTCGTATTGATGTAAGTAGCTAGAGGGGATTTAGCTAGCTCGCGGACATCGTCCCTTGTTCAACTTCTATGCCAGAAAAAAACGAAAGCAAATAAGGAATCAGTCAACCTAACATAAGTACATCGCATGGCTTGACAAAGAAACAATGGAATAATTGTTATATTGATTGAAACGTATCAAGAGGAATGCAACTAAAAACTGTCGCTTTCTATTCATCAACATATGCGTTTCGTAGCGCGACTGATAACAAGTTGAATCCGGAGAATCAATAATTAGGGTTGTTATATTTAATGCGTTAGTTAGAACTGTCAAAGGCCAAGGACTTGCATAGTTTGTTAGCTTTTTTCTTTGCGTTGCGTGATCCCCGAACAAGTTCCAAAGTATAAAATAGTCCCTAAATACAGAAATAACCAGTAAACATTTCAAGGGATGGATGACAAAAGCCAAACTACCGACCGAGACACAAATCAATCTATGAAAATTGGACAAACTCATATGCATATTTCTGAGACAATGTTGAAACAGACCGAAGCACGCAAGATTTTAGTAGGACACGCAATCCAAAATTTCTTCTCATCGGTAGAAAAGTTGTATAAGAACTGCAAAGATAATTAAACTAGGCCGTTCTCGAGGTGCAATCGCCGTTTGATTTAAATTGAATCGCGACATGGTCCGTAAAGAGGACCTTCGCAAAGATGAGTTCAATAGGTCGGCGATTGTGTAATAAAACGAACAGTACAGCTGTGTTTAACCCGAAACCTCATCACATAAATTTGTGGCTTATTCCTGCCAGAAAAATCCCTGGTCCAACTCGTTGAGTCGGTGAGCCTATCTTTGAGAAAAGAATTCCCTTTATTGTTGGAATTTTTAGAAAGTCAATAAATTCTAACCAAACATTTCTTGAGAAAAGTTCGTTTTTACAGCTTATGCCTTGTCGACCACTCATCAAAAAAGACTGACAAGTACTCGTCACAAACGACTTAAGTAAACAGGCCATACTATTTTAAATAAGAACTCGAATCGGTCATGTAAATTCACAAGATATTTTGTTTACCTCTTGTCTAGAATTATAATTCTTTTGGGATAATGGGAAATACTCGAATCGTTTGGCTAAGAGTTAACGCTTTGGGTTTTTGAGTATGGAGTCTGATGTAACTTGATAAATAGAATGAAGTTCTACTACAACCACATTTCTGACCCCAATGAAGTAATATAAATACAGCGATCTAGTGTTTGATAGAGACATGCCTTTGTATTATGTAAGCCAACAAAGTGTGACCTTCTAAATAACACTTTCGTTTAACAAATTTGATTCCCCCAAAGGTCAATCCCGCCATCAAATGACTGCAAACTATCTTAAATACAAAATCACAACTCCTTCGATCCACTTAAGTTCGTGTTCTTCCTGTCGCATTGACCTTATCTTGGTTCGTGTGACGAGCTTGTAGTGACGAGCCATATCCAAAGTGTTATGATGCTAGTATAAGAAGTACTTCGGTGTGAAATAGTAGGCCCATTCGAATTATGAAATTACAACTATATAAAAATGGCGCATGTATCATCAGGAAATTTAAGTGTTCTCGTGAAGGAAATATAATCGTAAGGGTTGATTAAGAGGTTTTTTAGAGACACGGTACGCAGTGGGGCACCCAAAGAACAAGAATATCGCTTGACCTTATAATAAAGTTCAAAATAAATTCACCACTTGAACACCAAAACGCTAAACAAAACAAACCAACAGTGCTGGAAGAATGCAAAATGCTGCCAAGAATTTTGCGGCATGACTCAACTTCTTCACAATTGATGAAATGGAAAGCAAAAGATCTATGGGGATGTTATTTTCATCGAGTCGAAGAGGCAACTCATCACTCTAAACTTGTTGCGTTTTTATCGTGACCTTCCAAAGGACAACATTCTGAACATGACACCAGGATTAGCTATCAAAGAGCAAGTTGCAGCGCATCCTATACTTTGTACCCGCCTCGAATGCATCTCGAATTTCAATCGCCAAAAACTTCACTAAAGATTCCCAGTTTGCGCGCTTATGGTCTTAACTACTCTCTCACAGCTGCATGTTATATAAACCAATTTAACGATTACAAATGTATTCCTCCTTCCGCTAATTTTTATCTTAAAGAAATTCTTGTCGTGTTGCACGAATGTTACTTTAGGCCGTTTTTACGACGTTTTCAGCGAGTCCCCACGAACAAACCGAAACCATGAAATTCAGATCTTAAGGTCCACGAGACGGAAATCTATAATAATTTATCACAAGAGCAATGGGTTAAGACAGAGTAAAGTGGAAGCCATAGAAACAATACACATAATATTATAGAGATAGTACTCAAGGTTGTGTGTGTGTTACTAAAGTATAAAAAGCTAGGATTCCTGTGATGTGTTCCCTGAAGGAATCGGCAGTAGAAGCAATTTTAAACCATATGCTCTGAAGCTGATCGCGAAACATCGGAATATTAACGACCAAATTAGTTTAAAGGCATAGTGACCTTGAATCATCTTATCAAAAATATGTCAGCACAAATCTTAGCTGGACAGCTAGGTGCGAAATAGGTGTTTATAACGCCAAATGACAAAAGGATAAAAGGGCGATGAGTAATTCAAACTCAGTGAGCGTTCGGGTTTGAGAGGACGACGGACAAATAACCAACCAACACATCTATTCTGTCTTGTTGAAAAAAGAGTTTTTAATCTTTAAGTCATGCAGATTTTAAAACAGACAATGTCTTCAAAAGACATGGAACTGGTACGAGGAAAACAAAACAATCACTTCTGTGGAGAGATTGTGAAAATAAAAATGCTTTAACTGAAACTTTATAGAACTAAAATCTCTGGTCATTTTGTGTCTAGGACATCAACAGTAAAAAGTAAAAATATCCAGTTTATATCATCYATAGCTATTCTCTATTTAAACTAAGTCATTTGGTGACTAAAAATTACAATTTGTTACGTCCTAACGAGCTATCTTGTCAAACTTTGGAGTAAAGTTTGTATGTCATGGTATTTTTTTCCCCTAAGACTGAGACATATACTTGGTTGAATTATTTTTAGTTCATCTTCTACTCTCCAATATTCAAACTCGATAAAAACCGCTATCAAATCTTAGATTCTGTTGCTTTTAAAACATAGAAATCCTACCTGGTAAATATATAAACTACGAGATTCTTTGTTCCCAAATATATAGTTATTCGCTTCAAGCTAAACTACTCTAAAATGTAAAGTTTAATGGCCATCAGCCAAGGAAACAACTTCCTCAAAGCTCAAGACAGCAAAGAGGGGAGTCATCAAGCGAGGGGTCGCCTTTTGAAGGCATCTCTCTCATCTAAAAATATTTTGTCACACACACAAAATACACACTAGTGCCAGAAGCTAAATTAATACCTCGTCCAAGACCGAGTTGAGCTTCGCAAACGTTTTTTTCCGTGTTATGACAACTTTTGCTCATGAACAAGGAAGGTAAGGCCATGATGTTGGCGTCCCAGACAGCAACATGTCCCTTAAAAGCGTTTCAATCGGTGTCTTTCCTACAAGTCGCACGAAAAAGAGCTGCTCAACCACTGAAGAACTTATACTCCTTAGTGAAGGTAGTCTGAGCAATAGTTTTCCAAACCGTGTAGGCTGGTTGGGATATTGGTTTCTTGAGTATTCCTCCAAGGCACACTGGGTCTTTTCTTGCAGGCTTTCTATATAAGTTGGGTCAGTTAAACCAGATGCATCTGAAGGCAAAAAAAGAACAGATATAACAATTTGTTTGAGCCTACTTTAAGAACGAGAGGGCGGTCTTGAGAGGAGGTTTTGGTAAGCCTAGAAATAATTGCGCTGTTGTCCGGAGTGACACTAGAAGAGTGAATGGCTTGCGCTGAAGTGAAACACACTCGCCGTGTAGTGTTTAATTTGGCCTTTTTCACCCCTTCAAAGTTTTGAATAAAAATAAATATAGACTGGCTTGATTTTCACAGTATGCACCGGTCATAATTCGAGAGACATTAGACTTCCTCAATCAATAACCAAAAGATCACGGTCGTAGAATAATAAATTGTTGCCACTATCATTCACGCAATTGTTATTCGGAGAACAAACTAACTCTCTCACCTGAAGTAAACAAAACGATGGCCTTCAGACAGGCAAATTCTGCAGCATCGACGTGCAGGCTTCTTAGTTTTTCCACTTGTTCTTGAAAAATCCTTATGTTGTCCATAAAAGAGACCATCCTGTCCGGTGACATGTGATTCGAGTGAATTCCGGCCGTAGCGAGAAGAGGAGCAACTTGTAAAGGCATAGGGCATTGGGCAGCATTTAAAACGAACAATTCGCTCCAAACAAGACGCAGTAATGCTACTTGATCTGTAACAGCGAGGTCAGGAAAGAACGGGATATTACGAGCCCATTCGACAGCGCTAAACAGCAACCTAGCAGCCAACTCGCAAATATTTTCAATGCCCATGATCCCGCATGGCATGTTCAGACCCTGCTGGAATCTAGTGGTCGGGTATGGTTCAGCTCGTAAAAGCAGAGCGATAAATCCTGAAAGGTAAGAGTGACCATTCGATCCTTCTCCATTTACGCCAGGGTGACTTGGATTTTGTTGCGGTACTACTTGTGTTGGAGGGATACGACCTCGCTGCACAGCTGTCGAGCCAAAAGGTGAAAGGGTTCATTCACTAACAATCAATTCCCTGTAGATACTAGAACAGATACTCTTGGGCTTCAGACTAACGTCCAAAGCCCCAGCAAGCGCTGAACGGATTTGGCGCGGAAATTCTCTTACCTTCTCGTCGCATCCCAACCTTGAGACACTTTTTTAGACGACAGTACTGGCATTGGTTTCGATGGTGCTGGTCAATGGGACAGTTCCTAGAAGCACGACATGTGTAGGTCAAGTTGCGGCGGACACTACGCTTGAAGAAGGACTTGCACCCTTCACATGTGAAAACCCCGTAGTGTTTTCCCGACGACTTGTCTCCACAAACAGCACACTCGATTTGCCCATTTTTCTCAGACGTGTCCTCTTGGCTATCCGTGTTCTCCCTCCAGGTAGGGGCTGCAACTAACGCCATGTTCCCAGCGTACCGCTACCAACACAACAGAACACAACAGACACAGTTAGTGAGTGTGATTCTTTAATCTACCCAACTACTACGCGGCCAGCTAGCTTCCGATATTAATTTAGTCGTTTCGTGACGTCTGTTCGGAAACGAGCCGTAATGATATTAAATGAGCCACTAAAAATGCGATTGCACTTACTTTAGACGCGGGAATAAAAATAAGAGTGGCGAAATTGTCTTGAAAAACTTTCAAGCACAGTATACGGAAAGCTCAAGCTGGCTGAAGGAAGGGCACGCTCTAATGTAGGACATCGATCCTTTGCTATGCAAAAACTTGAGGGTGTCATGTCTGAAAGCTCTGAACTTTGACATGGTCTGTTGAAACTGTCGGGTCTCCATAGCAGCGTATGCCATATATGGAAACAACTGTCATATAAGGTGCAAGGGTAGTATTACTAGACTGTCATTAGAGCAGTCGACTATGGCCCGAGGGGCAATATGAAGTTTTACGCGCGGTTGCATCTTTATGTCACGAAAATTAGAACCCAACTATCCGAATGCTGTGCTCCATAAAGTGACATTCAAGGCCAAGCAGAAACCAATAGAACATCTTTATAGATTTCACCACCGTGTTGTTGATACCTTTTCAATTTAACGGGACATATGTAAGTCTTAGTTTTGATTTACACATCCGTAAGAGCTAAGGGCGTAAAATTATCGGTGTACAACAGAACCATAGAATCGCGTGTCATTATTATCCTTTAAAAAAAGCTAAACTTCTGCCAATTTACACCTTCATAAAGACGTGAATGAGTTAGCTATAAAGGTAAAACCGGAATTGAATTTAAAGAAATCATGTTATTGTTAGCTAGAACATTCGCTTTCGAGTTGCTCGACTGATCACTTTTGTTAAACAGACAATCATCTAAGGCCACGAGTGATGACTAAACGTATAGCTCTATTTTTTCACTTTCCCGTATTTGTTCTCTCGCAACAAGCCAGAAGGACAGCATGGTTACGAGTAAGCAGTGCACTACTGAATAGATTGTAGTTTTACGAGAAGCGAAGTCGAACCTACTGATAACCTAAAACACGACGACACAGATCAGTACATGATATGATTTGTTTTCCCGCTAAAGCGGACACTTCGATTGTCTCTAAAAATCCCAGAGAATGACCCGTTCAACTTTGACTATCACGTCGAGTACATGGATTGTTTTTTATGGTAATGATCTTACGTGTTTTTAGAAGTTGGTTGTTTCGTAGGTCAAAGGCTTGATACCAAGTAACCGGTAGTTACTGAGGACTTGGTAGGTTTCAGACGCGAGCGACAAACAGGAAACTGGTTCTGTTGTGTGTTCAAGAGAGCTGAAGAGTGCGATAACTACTTCGGTTTAACCAATTGCTCACATGTCTAATCAAAAGATTCACACCGAAGATCAAGCACTCCCCAATGCGAGCTCTCTAGAGATCTGACTCGCTAAATATTCACCCGGTACATATTACAAGTTAGATCGTAGATCCGGGGTCGACAGGTCGGTAATTATAGACACAAGATGTCACGCATGTCGTTTACATAAATCACGAGGTACGAGATATTATGTTTGAACAGCGGCCTTTATCTGATGAAATATTTTTTGATTGCTACAAACGGTTCGGTATCAAACAAGGGAAATCATAGAGTTTTAAAGAAAATAGACCAAGACATTCGACACTGGCTCGTGATTTAGGTATGCGTTGGATCTATTTTTTGCGCGCGTTCCAGACAGAACGCCGACTTAGGAAACATACTTATAATACCAAGAATTACGCGCAGATAAAATTCCCTCATTATCAAACGCTCTGCGTAAAAAAGACAATAGCTCAAGGAACAAGTGACGAATTATGAGTAGGTCAGGGAGTATTATATTTAGCCTTGACATATCGACAGAAAACAGAGGTCGCTAGAAATTTTCTTTGAAACTCAAACCACTTCCGATGAAAGAGCTGTGTAATCACAATCCCTCAAACGACTCAAATCTGCGCCCCTAAATTACTAGAAACAAAATCTCATTAGAAGACATTAAAGCTCCTTGATTCTGAATCAACAAAGGAATGTTTTATCTGGATTTGGGAAATAGTGGAGACTCAACAAGAATGAGTATTCGGGAACATGATTCTTGCTCTAGCATTAAAGTGTGACAATTACTTTAGAAGATCAAAACTTCCGGAATTTCGTTTCTAAACCGTAGCAAATATAAGTATGAAAACGTAGTTTAATGGTACGACGGTTATAACGTACAATTGGAGCACTATCTTATCTTCAAAAGACGTGCGAAAATGATTTTACTAAATACTAACGTCTTCGCACAATTAAGCCCTATAATAATTAACACAATCTGTTTTGGATATAATCTTGATTTGAGGAATTTTTGACTGAATTTTTTACTCTGAAACAACAGGCAAAAGGCGTCCCGCTTTCTTAAGAGCCGAAGTTCAGACGTGGCGTCGCGCGTAAAAGAAAGGAATATCATCTTACTGAAACCGACGCAAGTTGTTTAAACACAAGGGCAAAGCATACATCTGCTTAGAATTGTTAATGCTTATAGTCACGAGTTGGTTTCTCCGAGAGGGATTATCCCTGTAACTGAAGCTTTTTCCGCCAAATGAAGGCTAATTCGATCAATTCCGCGCACAATTTTGATCCATCTTTGTCATCCCCTTAAGAGAATAGAAACAAATATTCGAAGAATTTCTTGGATAATGACGGACTGCCAGAGTCAAGGGTTTTTCTTGGGGGTCTGTAGATCATATTGGAACAGATTGGGGTTCAAGTCAATATAATTGTCCGTCGACTCTAAACTACGTAAGACTAACAGACTAAGGCCAAATAGATGAAAGCTATTACCCAGATAATGTCATCATAGATGCTTTGGTTTTGAAGTGTAAACGTTTTGGCCTTAAAAAATATTAACAGATTGAAGATATTTTGAACCTGCCTAAATATTTCTTAAGTCAATACTTTTAGTTCCTTTCTCTACATGGCTCAAGTCTACAGCCATCCGGCAACCAACACAAACAGTGCACTCAGGAATTCAGCGATATGATTTGTTTATTTTAGTTGCTTATCCAAGACAATGAACTTAGCATACCAAGTATAATGGCTTGAAAACAAATCAGGAACAATTAACCGCACAAAATCACACAAATATACCGAAAATCATCATACTGAAAATTCATCAATAAAACGGCATGCTACCTCAAAAGGAATCAAAAATGTCTAGCAATTGTTTTCGATGCTCTCTGGTCTTTTAATACGTAATGAACGAGATTTAAGATAGAAATTTTGCGTCACCCCTCAAACGTGAACAAATTAACCCCGTCTGACCGCAGAGGTTATCAGACAAACTTCCAGACAACCTTTTCTAGTTAACCTTAATGACCTCAATGGCTTTAAACGTTGGATCAAGAGCTATTGTTAGTGATTACATGAAGGAGACATGTTATTTCTAACCTTTTACTGTTGTAAGCAAAACACACTGAACTTCCGGATTTCGAACTGAATTTGAACTAGTTAAGAAAGTCTTACTTTTTTTGGCGGGAAAACTCTGGACGTGCGCTTTCAGAGAGAAAGTCCCGGATGACCTTTTTGAGGGTAAAACCGTTTTTATGGCAATCTTTTAGACAAACCAACCAACACCTATAAAATGCAAGTACGATGAATAAAAAATAAAGAAAAAGGAAGAAAAATCCTGAAGCAACAAAAATTCAAAAAAGGGAAAAAAGCTCGCAAATAGCAAAGAACATTAGAGTATTAAGAACATTTTCGCGCTCAAACAAGATCGAGCTCATTTAAAGTTTATCGGACAAATCACTTAGAGATTAGTCGATAATCCGCAAGCATATCAATGTGCACAATAGCGAATGGAAATAAAAAGAAAGGAATGGAAAAAATAGAAAACTATTCTCCCAGTTTATACCATAGATAACACGATCCTTCAACATGATATACGATCAGGAATGAACCAAGAGTAGATGAATGACATGTTGAAATCCGAACCTTGCGCTCTATCAAGCACGCCCATTCTTTATYGCCGACAGTTTTCTTTTTTAGAGCCTACCATTTATCGAAAATCATAGAAGAAACATTATCAGAAAGTCTTTTAAATGCGCGCGAAAAAAAATCACTGCTGCGTCTTGACAAAAACTATTCTATATTTAGAAAACGGCCCGAAGGGCTTCGGTTGTTTTAAGAGGTTTCTCTGCTCCTTTGAGAGAAGAGTTAACTAAACATTGAGAAACTACTTACATTTATTTTTCTTTCGCTGATTATCTTGAAGGGCAAAGCAGTCATTTTAGACGGATATCGTTTGATCTTTTGTGGAGCAACACTCAGTTTTCTGTTCGTTCTTTTTGTTCTACGGATTTCCGTAGATTTTTTTTTTAAATATCCTCTCGATAATCAAGCCCGTTCTTCTTTTTAAGCGTCGAGTACTCCCTGCCACTTGAGGAAAAACAGATTTCAAGCAGAACGAGTTACGACAGAACTCCGTGCAAAAGAGAGGGAGGTTTTTGCAATCATTTTAACATCAGTTACTTGATACGTTGATTCTTTAGCAACGGAACAGCTAATCTTTAATAACTCCGGCCTTTCTTTGAAGCAAATCGCTTTGTCAGACGGCTCGAGGGAGCAAGAAATACCCAAAAGACAAACAATCCCAGCAGATAAAAAAGTTATTAAATTAATTTGACAATACCAGAGCGTATTTTTCTTTTCACGAAATAAAACAGGATCTTTAGGAGTGGGTCGCAAAGAAACTCAATACGGAACCGGAAAGTCAGTAAGTGCCTTTGTTGACCCGAGAATGATTGAAAAGGAAATAAAAAAAAACTCCAAGATGATCAAGAAATTTCAAAACTTTGGTGGTGTCCAGGCATTTGTGGGCTTCCGTTATAGCTTAAACGAATTCCACAAAGCCCGTCTGAAATACCTCATTCGATCCAAAGAGTTTCGCGCGTTGAGTAGATCGTAAACCGTAACCTCTTTAGGATCATTGTTATAGAARGAAGGCTACATGCCGTAGGACGCGAGTAAAAACTAAATCAACAATTAGGTCAGCTTATTCTTAGTCTGGGTTGTCGTTGTATTCAATAAATAAAGTCAAATGTGTAGTGAAATCAAAACCGAATAAAAGAGACCAGATTCCTGGAATGATTTAGAAATTTGCAGTGATTCGAAAAGCTTTCCAAGTGCTGGTTCCAAGAACACAACGCGCTTCCTCTGCCCCAGTATATTAAGATATAACTAGCTAAAAACTAGTGTGAGCTGCGTCGGTGTTTCTAATGAAACAGTAAAAATGAAAAGGTAAATTATACACCGTGAAAAGATGAAAAAACTTACTGACGTTTCGGACGCTAGTCCTTCGTCGGAGTAAAAGAGAAAGAAGTGGTAGAAAGGAGYGTATATATGATAGAATAAGACAAAAGAAACCAATGAGAGCAAGGTAGGCAAGGAAACAAAAACAAACAATCAAAAGACAAAAGAAAAGGTTAGTTGAAAATAAAGCGTTCATTAATCCCGTTGGGACTAAGAGTGCCCAATAGGTGAATAAGCCGCATAATTTACCTTTTCATTTTTACTGCCCCAGTATATTAGTTGTCTTCGTGACTCCGAGAATATTTAGAGCAAACAAATCATTTTCACTCGAGTCGACTTACCGAAAATTAGCAATTCTCTCACGGTTGAATAATCATGTTTAGAAACACGTAATGGGCGGTTAAATAAAGTCCACACTCGCAGCGAATGGAACCGCACAGTTGTGATAATGTCTTGTAAACTTTTCGCCTGATAACCTCGGATCTTGACTTAAACAGTTAGCGGTCAATTATAGAACGTGGAGACACAATCGTTTGTATACACAACCTAACCAAAGAGGGCAAACGCTATTTTACAACACTGCTTGGCCCGACAGAACCTAACGAACAGATAGAATACTATGCTGCTCTGCCAAAAGGACAATAGATAAGAAGAACGTTTAACAGCCAACCGGTAAGGCGTGAAAAATTGTTCGGCGGCCGGTTTTGCCACAAACTTGCTCGTTTGACACGAAACTCTTTGACAAACCTTTACTCTGTTGTCTTATATTAAATGACCCCGCGGTAAAGAAAGAAAATCTACGAGAGAAAACTTCGGCTGAGCAAGAATGGAGGGCTATGATCACAGCTTGCGCAATTTCTTCGGGATAAAATCTCGGCGGTCTAAAATGACAACGGGCTTGCCATCCAAACAGTAGTGATAGATAAAATGTTTGCGCTGAGCGTCATGATCTTTAAGCAATCCCCGCGCGATCTAGTATTGTTAGCCGCTGTTGAATTAGAAGTTTACTCTGTAGGTAATCAGGACGCTCTCATAAGAGATCGTTAGAAATGTAAACCAAGCTAAGACAGATATTGGCTTTCCAAAGTGCAGGCAAGCGCAGACGACACACGGAATGAATAATTCAACAACCTTTAGGCCTGGATGAGGCCTCAAGAAGCAAAGGGTATAGCTACAAATATTTTTTAACTACCTGATTGTTAGTTGGTGGGTTTTCTTGATTTTCTGACTGCTATTGACCTCTTGGAAACCAAGTTCACCAACGAGCACTGTGAGTAGACCCTTCGGCTCAGATCGTTCGTATCTTGGCACTGTGTCACTACCAAGCTTACTTTGATCATATTACATCTCACACCATCGTGACATCATGCTAGAGCCCAGGCTTTTGTTCCCAATCAACTTCGCTCCGAAGGCTTGGAGACTTAGCTTTTTGAATCTCATCTTTGAAGTATTTTATTTAACAGTTCTGAACACTCAAATCAGTTTGACAATAAAAACCATTCAAGTTTTTTAAACTTTTATTAACACTGTTATCATAAACGCTAAAAAATCGATATACATTGATAGGAATTTCAATTTAAAAAATTATTTAATTTGATTGCAATTTTGACAATTGATTATAATCAGACAAAGCTCTCGATGTCCACCAGTGACATTTGTACTTCTATTAGCTGGTTAAAGTTGTCAAGGGTTTAACTTGACATGCACAAAGCCACGCAACAAAAAATGTTGTCACTATTGATGGCTTCATAAAAAAATCAATAATCCTTCTGAAAAAGTTCGTACAATTGTCATGAATTTTTCCCCCCGAAAAGTATAGTCTTGGGAGTCTTTGTTTTAATGTTTTTTATTGGTGTTTATAAGTTACAGAAGATCAAAAAGCAACTACAATTCTATCGTCGATTAAGTACGAAAACAGATATTCTTTAACCCTAAAAAATATACCCTACGGCCCATCTTAAAATGAGAAAAAAATCGAGCAAACCAAACAAAAGCGAAGATAATCAATAAACAAAGCTCGGTGAAAATAAAACATTCCAAGGGCAGAATACGTCGCGATTTTATGCAATTTTTTTCCTTTTGCGTCGTTTTTTCGTCGTTTGTTTGATTTCTTGGCATCGTTGCGTGCGGAATTAAGATAAAACGTCAAGCTCAGGTCAAGATCAAGGACATTGTCAGTTCATCGTCTTTCAGCGTTAGTAATAATCTGTGATATTTTAATGCAAGGCAGAAGATTCTCGATATTATGGCTTTAGTTAATTAATTAAGCTGATGTTTTTAGTTTAGGTGTTGTTTTTTTTTGAAAAAAAAAAAAAGAAAAAGTTAAATGTGCGTTGATAAGAGTTTGTGCGTTGGCACGAGGAAAAATTCTGACACTACGAACAATAATTACCTTTAATGAGTTCATACTGTAAATATTTTTTTAAATAGTTTTGATTGGATACCTCTTTCGCACGTGACTGCATACTAAAGTGGTCGTTCTAGTTTCTCTAAAGCGACCATTTAGTTTACAAACGACCAAGCCCCAGTTCCGACCAGTTTTGAAATCGGTAACTATGGATGTATTTACATCAGCCTCCTTAACTCATTTCTACCTCGCCCTCTTTACCGCCCCATCCCTACCCCCACCCCTGTTGTTTTGTTTTAGCGATCAATGGYAGTCGGGCCTCATATAGTCCCTCGAGGTTGTACATATTCGAGCATCAGTGGCTCCTAAAGGGACAAAGCTTACACTGAGTGATTGTATTATTATTATACTAATTTATGGCCGGACAGTCTTTGAATTATTCGAGTCAGGCTGATGCGGTCCGACTGAGTTACACCACTACAACAGCATGGTGTCAGTACGTAGGTAAATACAAGGTGTGGCACTCAATATTTTCGAGACCACGCCTACCGTGAACTATTCTTTCTGGAAAAATCAAACCGTAAAAAATGTAACGCTTTGTAGCTATTTTTTGTTGTCATTGTTGCTGCTGCTGTTGTTGTTGTTGTGCTACTGCCAGCGCTGTTGTTGCTGTTGTGTTCAGCTCACTACCGATGTACTACCGATGTTTTTTTCCTCCTCGTAATCAAAATTATATTAAATTTGAGGGCCATAAGTTAGATACATGTAAGCCCAAGGGCGGATCCAGCCAAAATTTAGGGGGGGCTAATTGAATTTAATTCTTCAGTTTTTTTTTCTGCTGAAGGGGGATTCAACCCCCCTTTGCACCCCCCTGGATCCGCCCTTGAATCCTCGTAAAATAAAGATTTAAAAAAAAAAAAAAAAAAAAAAAGAAAATGATGCTGCTATTGCTGTCGCTCATTTCGCAGAAATCATCACACATGCCAACCATGGAAACCTCAAACAAGCCAGCATTTCCTGGGTTTGGGGCGGACTATTGACTTAAATCATGCAAAGGTCATAACTAACGTGATTATACTTACACTAACAAGAAATTACAAGCAACTATCACGAAATGACAGCAGAATTATGTTAGCACCCCAGTCGTAATGTCATACACTTGACCGGGGTTTTTTCCACGACCTTTCTTGCGCATCTACGAACCGTAGTATAAAACTTTTCTTTAAATGATTTAATTATGAATAGTACATTATCCCTCCTGCTTACTCATTAGCATTAATTAAGGTATGGAGAGTCACCCCTGACGAAGCAAGCTCGTGAGGATAAGCCAATGAGTAAACAAGAAGGGTGGGCGGGGGGAGCGACTGCTTCTCTGAGCCGGTTCACGCCGAGTGACACATATGCATAATTAATGATGCCTTAAAATAATACCAATTACGTCATCAGGAAGTCTAATGAATATTCATAGGGTTAGAATAGGAACTATTACAGTTGTTTTCCTAATTGAAACTTTTCTATGTTTTTTAGAATAAACAATCCTTGAGAACTGGGATACTCGGAGAATTATCGTCATTTCGCGATTCGCGCGACTCATTCCACCTGGCCCCTATGGACTAACTACTGTATCATAGCACAAAAATCACGAAATTTAGATATGTATCATCTTATGATAAAACTCGAGCTTGGAAACGTTGATTCCAAGGTGTGAAACAAGGTGCCTTTCCGCTTCCGTCTCTATTCTCACGCGAGGCGGACGAACCCAAATACAACTGATCCTGAAGTGCAAAATCGCTCCGTTAGTGAAGGAATCGGGAATTTCAGAATCTGCGATGCTTTGGTCTGCATGTGTTAGTAGTCCAAGTCAGTCCTCTTTCGTCTAAGGCTATGCAAGCTTTAAACATTTGGCTCTTGCTAAGGGGAGGGTTTCAAGACATGGGATGGAGAAGCTCCGGAATTTATCCTGAATGCAAGAGCCGATTTCCAGTGAACGTAAGATAAAGAGGCAGACATGTGCTTCTGTCAAATCCTGCAACAAAATATCATAAGAACATTACAGTGCGACTGTATTTCAACCAAGCCATAATGGAAAAAATTTACTAACCTTTACAAGGATGAGTCATGTCGAGCCCTGAAACAACCTTCGGGCTGATTTGAGTCAAGGGATGGCACTTGATACTGCACTGCAGTGATCCATTATTCCTCAGTTGGGTTTCCATTGTGTGAAAAACATACGGTCTTGATGGCAGACCGGAATACTATTCGTTTTATGCTTTTAACTAGGGGGCCGGCTGTTTAAATATGACGTCCTTATCCGGACTTAAGCCAGGAAAATACATGATGTTAGCGACCCCTTAGTACAGTTAGCGATGAGTGGCACTTGTTACGGCTTTGTACGAAATTTATAAATATCTACGTACCACGAGATAGGGGTAACTCCTAAAAGAGTACTATTTCAGATGTTTCGGCGTTTTTCTGCTCCATAGGTATGGTCTATAGACTTGTAGTGTAGCGTATGCTTAAAAAAAATTGGAGAAATTTATGTAAAATCGCGAATGCGCAAAGAATTCAACCTAAAAGTAGAACATCATTACAGGAAAGGTTTCTTTAATCACGGAACACAAGGTCGTAGCCCAATGATCTGCCCGGAAATCAGGGGAAACTGCCCTGTAGCAGTTTACAAGCTCACTCTGTGGAGTTACTGATTGGAGATTCACATGCCTCAGCAATACAGTAGGTGCAAATATGTGACTCAAAATCTCTTGAGATATGAATAACAATGCCGAAACAACCGCCATGTTGGTGGATCTAACAAGAGAAGCTAATGAGGAATGCTTTGTTATCGTCAACCAAGATGGCGGCTCTGACGTAACTTGCGCATGCTCTATAGGTAGTTGTGACAGAAGAGGCGAGCGAATCAATGAGGAAATCTAGTCGGTGTAAGGAGGGGATAAACGACGTCCTATACGATTTTCAACTAGTTTGTTTTCTAGAACCCCTCCCTCGAAAACTGAATTCCTGGACTTCACAACTTTGAGGCTGGTTTTTGCAAGCCTACAAACCGCGCACAACTCAAAGCATTAGCGCAAAGAAGGAAAATTGTGCGTGTATTTCCTTGCATTCTACACTTTCGATTCCTTGTATTTCATCAGAAATTAATCAGTGGCAACTATTTCTGTTTACACTTTGCGCTTGTGAATGCGTCACTATCGGATAAGAACTGGTTTTGAAACGTAATTAATACAAAGAACAGAGGCGGATCCAGGTATCAAAGAAAGGGTGGGGTGGAAAACTTCGTCGTGAGATAAAACCTTCAAGATTGTGAGCAAATGCAATTCTTGCCAAGCTTAACAAAAATACATCACTTCAAAGAGGGGCTGCAGCCCCGTCGGCCCACCCCTAAATCCGCCCCTGAAGAATGGTAAAAGTCCCTCCAGTTTATCAGTAATTCATCAATGGAAACTTTTTTTTTTCACAAGCGTTTTACTTCTGATTTGCGCTTGTGAATGAGTCACTATCGGATAAGAACTGGTATTGAAACAAAATGAATGCAGAGAATGGTAAAATAACACAGGAATCAGGAAACTGCAATCTCACGGATGCCGTGACAAGCCTTGCTTACCAACATAATTCGAAGTTAAGTGGATAAATGAACACCAACAGAGTAATCAAAGTGTATGATATCCTCATATGTACATATATATTGCACGGAATTACTTGACTGGTTAAGATTAACCTTTGGCCTCTGACCTCGCGATGTGGCTTCAGATTATCATATTTAAAGTATTAAAAACAAGAACGTTTAAAAAATCCATGCGGTATTGATAAACAAAGCAAGTGAAACTTTGCAGCCAGATAATGGTAATTTTAAACTAAGGGACGGAGAAGGGGTTTGGGGGTAGGGGGTGCGTAAATCCCCCAAAACAACAATATAGAGCAAGCACACACACACAAAAAAACACAAAAAAATTGCGCGCAGGGGTTATTACAAAAAAATATTTATCGTGCAACATAAATTTTTGCATTACGTAACTCATTCGTAAGCAAAGAGCCGTACGTGAAGGCATTTTGAGCAATTTTGGGCAGTTTGCCTAAAGAACTTTAGCTACTACGTTTCGGTTGTCAAAAAGCTTTATAGAACGGAAACTTCTGAAATTCTTAAACTTTTTTAATACTCCAAATGGTTTGTCTTACAATGCCTTATCAGGAAAGTTTTTTTGGGTAATTTTCATTTTGGCATTGCTTATCGTCTCTCACGCGTGCAAACGGAAGTAGAATCGGAACCGGAAACGGAAACGCAATCTCGCAAGTCGAATCAGTCTGATAACAGATAGGAGAAGAGGATGGAAAGCGAGATCATGTTATGATGAAGTTGAGGTTATGATTTTGGCCTCAATGGGAGAAGTCATAAGATGAAATTAGATAACTATGTTGAGGCAAATATAGTAAAAAATTCAAAAATATATTATAGTAGTAATTTGTGTGCATGTGTGCGCACGTCTGTGAAGTGCAGTATATACTGGACTCAGTTGGGACAATAGATATACACCTAATTGAAAAAACGTAGTGGAGTTCTAGAAGGTCATATCATCGAAGCTAAGACCGAAAAGGATTTTGGGTACTCCGAAATGTGTATTATATTTGCATATAGACATGTAAAAATGCACAGTAGAGCAAAGTCGGTCAACCTAGATTAACAACATGCCAAAGGCATGATGCATAAAATGTGCACAGGAAGGGAAATCTGCAATACGCATGAAATTAGCATAATTGTTTGTCTTCCCAGGCTCCCCTTCGGTCTTAGCTTTGATGATATAACCTTTTTTTTGAACCCGACAACGTTTTTTCAATTAGGTGTATAATAGTTTGTCCTTATGTTGTGTTTATATAATAGTTTGTCTTTACGCCAAAAACTCCTATTCCCTGTACCTATAATAATATAACTATTATATTATCATTATACTATTATAATATTATTATTATAATATTATGATATTGTTTTTATAATATTATAATCTTATTGATAAGAAAAATAAAATGATAATAGTGATATCAGTTTGATAACTATAAAGCCCAATACCATATTAATATCATTAATATGATATTTGACTGATAATACAAAAAATAATAAAAATAAATGGCTTCAGGGTTACAGTACTTACACAATTATTGTATATCTCAGTCTAGATCTCTATAGTGTAAACTGCATGCTGTAATTCAAAAGAGCGACAGTAATTTTTATGAGTAAACTATTAACCAAAAGTGCTCTTTGAAATGACCTATAAATATAATATATATGTACATTTAATACCAATTTGTATTTCACTCTGGATGTACATACCTATTTTTAAAAAAGCTAGGTTATCTGGGCCAATAATTTGCAAAAGTGATAGGCAATAATAGGTGATTAGTTCCTTTCCATAGTTTCAAAAATTATCCATACCCCCCACAGAGGAATTTTTTAAGGACTCTCCCCCCCTTTTCCCCCAGGAATTCCAATTTTATTTCATGCAAACCCTGTTATTTTGTTTTTTTTCCTGACTTCCTGACTCCCCTACCCCTTGGAAATGTCAAATTCCTCTGCGTGTGTTTGTGTACAGGGGTTGGGGAGGGGGGGATGGGGGAAGGGGGTATTTCTAGAACTACACAATTTCCTTTCCTTGGAATCACCTATAACATACTGCTCTATCTTTGGCAACCTTATAGGTGTACGTATATAAAAGAACTGGTATTGTGGAACCAGGTAGCCTATTGAGGATCAATTGAATCCACCCCTTCCCTCAAGTATTTTGCACTGGGAACTACAAGACAAAGCAGATATGTCATGTCGGCATGTAAGCCCCTGCTATATTTCTCAACCCTAACTGTGGGGTCTATGTTCAGAAATAGGAATAAAGTGCAGAAAGTTAACTATGGTCTGAGTTAAACCACTCTATTAAAACTAAATAGTGTTAAATAGTGCAAAATATTTTGTTTTCTATTTTATGGCTATAGTACTAAATTAGCAATGGTTACCTAAATAGAGTGGTTTTCATAATCCCATGAAACAAAGTGTACTATCCGTATTAGAGTGTAATAGTCGGATAAACACAACAGAACTCAAAAGAATTAGAATGTAAATAGTAATAAATAAGTTTTATGAAAACCACTCTATTTTTTAAGAGTCCATGCAATTATTACCTTGTATTTAAACTAGTAACCTTCAATCTTTCTTTGAATATTACTGTGTGTGTTCTCTTGTGTTTTCCCTAAAAAAAGGAGCACCTTAAAATATTTTTAAATGCATCCAAGTATATGCATCTATAAATTTCAAATATTTTCAAAGATGTGCTTCAAGCATATTTTTTGATATACATCAACTCATACTACGCTATAATATACCACCAGAGCTTAAAAACCATACCTTTGAATGTATAAACCCAGCTTGTTTTTTACAGTTTCATAAAAAGTAACTAAACTTCTCCAATATTGAAAGAAATGATGGAAAATTTTTTAAAAATTTCTTTGTAAAAGTTTTCAATTTTGGCGCCAAAAGCACCATAGGGGGTCCACACTGAAGCATCCTGGGATAACACGAACTGCGCATGTCAAGTACAAATCATACCAACATGGCGGACTGGGGTACGTGTTCTAAGTACTTCACTTTAATGACGGTTTTCTTTACCTTCTAGCTTTGCGATTGCTTTAATTTGTACTTTAATTCTTTAAACAGAGGATGAAGATTTCGAACCCACGGGTTTGGACGACAAAAAAATAACAGATAAGTGGGAAGGCGAAGATGAAGATGACAATGATGTAAAGGTGTGAGCGTTTTCATTTCCTCACAGTACTTCACTATGGCTTCGTTTTATCTGAGTTCCTTCGCTACTCTTCTCTTTTAACACTAACAATAAATGTCTTATGTCCTAAAGGAAAACTGGGACGATGATGAGGACGAGGAAGGGAAGAAAAAGGAAGAAACGAACGAAAGTAAGTTATTTTGTAAGACTTCCTTTTTAAACATGTGAGTGAAAATTATATTTAATATGAAATAGTCACGTGGCGAAATCAAGTAAAATGTTATTAGAAATCAGGAAAAAATTTACTATAATTTGAGACTGAATTTTTAATAACTTGTAATGATAATAGACCGAAAAATGGGTAGAAAACTACATAATGATTTTCAAAAAGGCAGTCAAGATAAAAATATATATTTTTTGATTTATTTTTATCATGTCAATTTTGAACTTTACATAATTCATAATTACATACTCCAGACATCGAGGTTTGTGGCTTCCATCAGTCAAGACAAAATTATTTCAATCATATAAAATTAAATTAAAGGAAGTGTAAAATCCAGAACCTTCGTAAAAAACTTCAAATATTATCAATCTGGGCTGATCTGGGTCAGGGTCAGGGTATGTAAAGTCGGAGAACCTGGAGAAAAAACCTTGAATCAAGCAACAAACCCAACTAACTCTACTCACATGTGATGCTGTGTCCAGGAATCGAACCTGAGACCTCAGAGTTGAGAGGTGAGTGCACTTTTGTTACGCTAACCTTGTTTCCCAGATGTCTGGCTTTGTTTGAGTTGCAGCACCAATAATTGTAAACTCTGGGTTGTTTATATGTTAAGTAAAGCATTCGATCGGGAGATAATAATTATTGATGGCATGTACAAAGTTTTGTGGAATAGGTAGTAATTGAATTTTTGAATTTCCTGTTTTGTTGCAGGCAAAACAGAACTACCGATTAAAAAGAAAAAACGGCCTTTAAAAGAGGTTTTAAAAGAAAAAGAAGAAAAGAAAAAGGAAGAAGCCAGATTGAAAGCTCAATTGCTGAAAGATATGGAGGTATTTTTTTCCTAACTTAAGACACTTTTTAAATTATTAAACATATTTTTATGGCTGGSCTGATCTAAGTCAGGGCATGGTTAACTCACAGATCAATCCCTGAAACAACCTCTGGGCTGATCTAAGTCAGGGCATGGTTAACTCACAGATTGAACCCTGAAACAACCTCTGATCTGATCTAAGTCAGGGCATGGCTAACTCAC